TGACAAAAACCACAAAAGGTGGCCCCAGGGGGTAGAAAGCATACAAAGAATAATAAATCGAAAAAAAAGTCCGCGGGGATTATGATTGAAATGTCGGAAAACAGCTTGCAAGGTGCTTTACCATTCCTCCAGGATATCTCAAGGAGCATTGAAAATGTAATTTATATTTTTAGATGGTTGGCCTTTAAGGTCCACTTTCTTATAGAATTTAGTCACATAAATCTATCATTATAAAGTTTAAATTTAAATGAATTTTTCAAATGTTTGCTTTGTAAATATTTTACAAATATAATCTTAAAATATTTATTATACATTTGTTATTACTTTTATACATTTTTATTCTTACACAGAAAAATTCTAATAATATTTCCTTTTAAATTTTCATTTTCAAATTGTGAAAACATCTGAATCCCAGACGGGTAACACTAGAAAATCGAAAGTGTCGTCAAGCCCACTCATTCCGATTGTTGCCAATGTATATACATATATTCTTTTCTTTTCTCAGCTAAAACCCCAACACACCACCCATTGCTATAATAAACTTTACAGAATATTATTACTGCTAATAGCAGTGGAAATAATTCTCTTCCTTTCTTTTTTTTTTTTGCCTACAATTTTTGGCTGTCTGCGTTGAAATGTGTCAAGATAAAATGGGAGCAATATGCAAATGTCGTGGCAGACAAATGACTATATATATTTAGGCTGCATGCAGCGGGGCAGAAATTTGTTGATCCAAATTAATTTGCAAATGATTTGCCTTTGCTGCTGAGGCGGGGTACCAAAAAAGTTGATATTTGTCGTGACCCATAAGCGAAAGATCGGTCACCTTGCCGCTTACTCACTCACTCACTCACTCAGCCATTCAGTCAGTGGTGTCAATAAATCCAGAGATGTCTCCATCAAATCAACCTGTCACTTGTTAACACACATTTAACCGAGTGGGCGAAAAGGAGGGTGAGATTCGGTGGGCAGAAGTCAGGAGGTCCAACACCTGTCCAGGTTGACAAGCAGTCGCCACCGAATTGCAATGTTTCGGTTTATTTTGCCTGCTTTTGCTTTCGGCTACTCTACACTCTGTGTTGCTAATTAGGAGGAGGCAATGGCATGAGGTGGCAGAAAAAAAAGTACTGAAGCATCGTGACTCAGAGAACAGAAAGATATAGACTCTGGACAGCAAACGCAAGGGGGATTGAAGGGGAAGACAATGCTCCAGGCGCACCTCTGGCACATAATAAAGCACAAAACTCCTTCACAGGGAAAAAAATGAATCCAGACTGAGAAATAATCGGCATCAAGAAAAACGACATTAAAAACTCCCCCTTTTCGCAAACTCTCTTTTCAGCAGATAAATTTAGAGCAACATTTCATTAATTTTAAATTAAACACACTATCGAGGTTAATCTCAATCAATTTCGAACACTTGCGAAAGTGAAAACGTAAGCCTGCATTATTATTTAATGTACAATTCAATTTCTAATACAGCGTTTCTTTTTCCCACAGTGTTCAGACCTCACACCTTTCTGGAGTTGTGGCAATTGGCAGACCGATCCCCTCTAATTGCTCTTTCTCCATCCCTCTGCCTGTCATTTATTTCGTAAATTTGCACGACAAGCAACAATAGCAATTTCCAAAAATAAAAATTTTAATAAAATTAACAAAACAACCGAAAAAGTTGAAATGCATAAGAGACGCAAATTGTTAATTGGCTATTTAAACATTTTTTTCTCGTACATTGCAATTTCATTTCGTTTTGTAAATAAATTTTAATCAGCATTTTTTTATTGACTTTTTTAAACGAGAGACAAAGAACTCAAGAAGAAGAAAACTTGAATTTTTATTTCAGCTTTCTTGGAAGAATTTCTTCTATTTAATTTACTTATAATGTTTTAAAGTTATATAATAATAATTGTATTCATAAAAATGTATTTATTTATTTACACACATTTTTTTTATTTTACAATCAATTTTTATAGGATAATATCACAAATCTGACAACCATTTTAAGACGAAATTTCTATTTAAAACAGTCAAACTTTTATCAAATAAAAAAGAACAATTTTCAATCCATTTGTACAATAATTATAGTTATGAATCTATTGCTCTTTATGTTTGATGTTTAAGTATTAAGTGTCTGCAATACGTACGCATGCTTATATGGACGAATGTTTGAATATAAGTATATGTAAATTTAGCTGTTGTGTTTTGTGCTCGTCTTTTTGGAATTTTTATGGATTTCTCGAGCACGCCAAAATATTTCTTTGTTCACATCACAAAAAAATTGCATGAACTTTTTATATATGTACGTGTGTGTTTTGAATGCAATACGAAATGCAATAAATATGGCTAACAAATGTCCGTCAAAGTAACCAAATTACGTGCATACATATACGGAGCACATAAAAAAGTGGATTTTAAAAACATTTTAAGCGTACTCAGAAATAAAAACTGTACGATGTGAGTTGGGTTTATTTCTTTTTTTTGAGAAAATGAAGGACCCAAAAAACCTAGTAACTTTTGGCAAAAAAAAAAAAGAAGATAGTTTCCCTTTGTTTTATTGCTGGTAGGAAAAATTAGATAAATAATTCTCCGTATTCTCTTGATAGAAAAATATTTACAATGTCTGCCTTTCTTAACCTATATTGTACCAGCATCATGTAAGATGTCAACCCCTTGTAACTTTAATTTGTTTTTGTTTTTTCTCGCACCAAAGTGACAAAATTTGAGACGAGACTTTAACAAGTTTGCATGTTTTCTCTTTATCGTCGTCATTTTTCTTACCTTTCATATGCGCAACTTGAACCAATTTCATGTGAAAACCAATTGAGACAATGCAAAAGAAGAGGAAAAACAGCAAGACGACACAAAGTGCAAAAATGTTATTAAATAAGAAAAAATAATAGACTTGCAGTGCAGACAAGAGATGGAAATGGATGAGGAGACAGAGATGGAGGGGGGAGGGGCTTGGCCAATATTGATAAACGTTATGTGGCACTGTTGCCAGATTCAGGTGAGACTGCTAATTGCCTCACCTGGCGAATCGGGGTCACCCCAAAGCAAGTAAAGCGAAAAATCATTAAAGCATTAGCTAAGATAAGGAAGTAAATCTTAGTTAAATAATTATAAAGAAAATAAAATTATTTGTATATAATTAGTTAACTAAAAAACGATAAACATTGCCAATTTAATAATAATTTTAAATTTACATCTATTCAATTAACAGAATCCTAGCCTGTATAGGTAATGTACGAGTGAACCAATCAATTTATTAGTGTATTTTGCTGAATGGGCCCATTGACAATGTTGCAAATAGTTGTCGGACAAGCAACTTGTTGCTGCGGCTCCATGTTGCAATGTCTCCAGCGGTGTCACGCGCGGGATTTGTAAACAAAGAGATTGGTAATACTGAGAGCCAAGTTGAGAGTGGTGTTACCTGAACCAGCTACAAAATTCCGCCTCATAATTCAAACGGTAAACAGTAAATCAAACGGAAAAGCGTAAAAAGAGCGTGACACAATAAAAATAATAAATAGAGAAAGAAGAGCAATAGAGAAAACATATTAAATAAAAAACCGAATAAGCTATTATCCTATTCCATAAATCTTTATAAAATTGATATAAACATGTAGCAAGCTTCCTAATTTTAATAATTGTAATGATCTTGCAAATCCTTAAGTTCAAAAAATACATATAAATATTAATATAAATTTAACTGCAATTGTTAAATAGAAAATGTATCACACCTATTTTTCTGACCAGTAGTGTAGATGGGAGCAGGGTAAGCCCATTCCCTTTGTTAATTTAATAAGCTTGCACGTCGAATATCCAATTTGTTGCCAGGCAGCCGCGCATGCAAATGCAAACTTGACCTTTAGATTGCGATGGCGTATAAATTAAAATTGGTCTAAACTTTCTCATTTAAAACACGCACTGTACATTGTCCAAAAAAAACCTTCAAAAGGTAAAGACAATGACCAAAAGAAGGAGCAAAGATAGAGAGCTACGAACTTCTGCAAAATTTGGAGAAAGAAACGTAATGATTGTCATGCCAATCGTCAAGCGATCGTCAACTCCAACTCCACTCAGCTAAAAAGGTTTCGTTTCCCTCCATTTCGATATTCGTTAAAAATACTGTCTGTGGCATAAATTAAGGGCAATATAAAGACAATCGTGCTTGTTGCAAAGGTACATTATTACACACTCCCATAACACAAATTATATAAAATACGAAGTTCTATCCTTCAAAAAATGTTTTCAAGTAACAACTTGACAAAAAAAAAAAAAAAAAAAACCTCAGAATGACCCCCCAAGTTAACACCCTCGTGAAAGGCAATCGAAGTAGGCTAAACCAGTTAGCCGGAGCAATCGAAAAATGTGTGTAATAAAATAAATATGTAAATAAATTTAAATTCATTAATGTCAAACAACTTTGGCAACGACAAATGACGGGCCAGTCGCTACAAGAAAACGATGAACAATAATCAGCAGAATCCGAATGAGAAACGGAATTAGTCGAATTAGTCACAGTCATCACAGGTTGGGGCGAAATGATTAAAATTCCACAGGTAAATAATATCTAATCGTCCCATATTCATTTTTCACTTCAAATTAAAAAAGGTTTTTGGTATAAAAGAGAGTTTATTCGAAAGCGGCTTTAAATTAGGCTTTAAAACGGGGTCAGGGTTACAGCTTGATTTTTTAAAATTTGATGCCTGATATTTGGTTGAAACTTAGATTGCAATGATTCTATATCCAGTAAAAGCTTTGCCTGTTTGGTAATAATTTAACAATTACTAACTATTGTTGATTAAAAACCTAAAAACCACATTATTAATTGTATTTATTATATATTCCTCAAATATATGTAAATATCTATCAAAATTATTAACTTATTGAATTTAATTGTTTTAACCTAATAGGCTTATTGCGTATATTAAATTATAAACTTTATTAAAATCACTTTGTAATTTACGTTTTTGATTTATTGGATGTGTTTGACTTACCAATAAACCAGTTTCCACGTTTGGTATCAAAATTATCTTGGACCCGTCCATTAAGTTGTGATCTCTGAGCGAGCCATCCTGTAGTTCCCTGCAAGAAAGCGAAAATAGATAAAAGTTAGAACAGTGTAAGTGTAGTATTAAATCAATAAACGGTATTTGGCTAAGAAGAAAATACTCAATAAGCCCAAAATAGCTGAACAGACTTATAATAAAAAGGCCAGCTAAAAATGAGGGAAAAGAAAATTACAAAAATACAAAAGAGAAGTTGAGTAAAAGAAGGAGAAGTAGATAAAACAGTGACAACGAATTTCAAGTCGATCCAACAACCAACAAAAGGCGTGCGCCGAGCGTTTTTTAAATATGGTTGTTGTTTTTAGCTTCTCTCGATTCTCCACTTAACAGTACAGTCACACAAACAAACACACAATTGGGATTATATCGGCATTTTAATGGATAATATAATTAATTTGGCATTTGATTTGTTTGCTTTGTGGCAGCTCTCTCTTTATTTTCATCAACCAAAGCGTTTCGTGAGCGTTTCTACCGATTCAAAAAAAAATGCAATTTCCAAAAGAGGGGTTGGGGATTTTTAAGGCGTTGATTTGCTGCTGTCAGCACTCTTGAATGCGTAATTTCATTTTTAGCGACATTCAAGATAATTTTTTCAAGGAATCGATATACACGTTTCAAGAGCAACAATAATATACACAAACAAATCGATGATTTAGGACATTAAGAAGGATTTTTAGAGGGCACAAAATAAAAACAAATGGCATAAAAAGGCAAAAAGCTTTAGTCGACTGGCCTGACCATAACGAGAATTTGCTAAACGAGAATTTTAAGGCGTTCAGGTAAAAAATTAAAAGTTCAAGCACTTTACAGGTTTGTCACATTGGGGCCAGTTGATTTCCATTCCATTTTTTATTCTGTTTTCTGTTCGTTTTATTTTAATTAATTTTTGTTTTTACTTTTTCTCTGTAATTACTGCTTTTTTTTTGTTGCCGGTGGAGTGAAACAAAGTCAAAAGTTAAACGCTTTTGACACTTTTCAGTTTCTGAATTTCAATTGTTTTCTTCTTTCTTTCATTTTTTTTTGTAATTTTTAGGCATTGCATTTCGCAGGTGTTAAGTGAGACAAAAACAGCAGTAGCAGCAGCCATAACAAAACGGCAACAGACTGACGAATAAACAAACGAGCATACAGCTGCTTCTTATTTGTTTAATTCCGTTTACTTGGTTAATATAAATATGAGAAACCGAAATCGAGAGGGTCTCGCTGGAGAATTAACTGCCGCAAGAATTGTTTTTCCATTATTTGCATATTCGTATGTGCAACGCACGCTGAATTACAAAAGGGCGAAAAGGGCATTCGGGGAATATTTGTATATTACAAGCAGTTGCGTCTTGATTTCAAGAATTACGCAACCCCCACTTTTTAAGTTGATTATCAGATACGTTGATATCAGAACAAATTATAACCTAATAAAAACTGGTTTTAAAACTTATACTACTTGTGTAATAAGTTTCAAATTTTTATAGCATTTTTTATAAGAATTTATAAGTTATTATTTAATATGTTTAACGACAACTATATGAAACAATATATTGTTTATGCGTTTGCAGTTTCTTGATTTAAAAATATATATATTTCTTCACTTATTTCATTATATATATCAAAAAATGTTAATCAAATCACTATTAATATTATACAAATTAAATTTTAAAACAAGAAAGGAAAGCTAACTTCGGGCGGAGCCGAAGTTGATATACCCTTGCAGAATACTCTTGATATTATATTCTCCAAAATTATTCATATGATGCATTCTTAATACTTATAAAATATCCCAACTTCCTAACTTTAAGAACACCAAAGTTATGGCATTTCCGATCGTTCAGTTATATGGCAGCTTTAGGATATAGTCGGCCGATCCTTATGAAATTTGATAGGTCGGATTGATTGGCCAAAAATAAAAGCCATTGAAAATCCCAACTTCCTAACTTAACAAACACCAAAGTTATGGCATATCCGATCAATCAGTTATATGGCAGCTATAGGATATAGTCGGCCGATCCTTATGAAATTTGGTAGGTCGGATTGATTGGCCAAATATAAAACCCATAGGAAATTCCAGCTTCCTAACTTTACAAACACCAAAGTTATGGCATATCCGATCAATCAGTTATATGGCAGCTATAGGATATAGTCGGCCGATCCTTATGAAATTTGGTAGGTCGAACTAATTGGCCAAATATAAAAGCCATAGAAAATCCCAGCTTCCTAACTTTACAAACACCAAAGTTATGGCATATCCGATCAATCAGTTATATGGCAGCTATAGGATATAGTCGGCCGATCCTTATGAAATTTGGTAGGTCGGATTGATTGGCCAAATATAAAACCCATAGGAAATTCCAGCTTCCTAACTTTACAAACACCAAAATTATGGCATTTCCGATCAATCAGTTATATGGCAGCTATAGGATATAGTCGGCCGATCCCGGCCGTTCTGACATATATACTGCGTGCAAAGGAAAGAAGGGTGTGTGCAAAGTTTGAACTCGATAGCTTAAAACAGAGACTAGTTCGCGTAGAAACAGACAGACGGACAGACAGACGGACAGACGGACATGGCTATATCAACTCAGGAGGTGATCCTGATCAAGAATATATATACTTTATAGGGTCGGAGATGTCTCCTTCACTGCGTTGCACACTTTTGACCAAAATTATAATACCCTCTGCAAGGGTATAAAAACTAAAGACGTATAATAGTACGACAACTTTACAGATGTATCTTTAATTATACCCTTGCAGAGGGTATTATAATTTTGGTCAGAAGTTTGTAACGCAGTGAAGGAGACGTTTCCGACCCCATAAAGTATATATATTCTTGATCAGGATCAATAGGGGAGTCGATATAGCCATGTCCGTCTGTCCGTCTGTCCGTCTGTCCGTCTGTCCGTCTGTTTCAATACCGTTTGCGAGCTCAGTTTAAAAGCTAGCGATCTGAAACTTTCACAATCGTCCTAAAACATGTGTACGCAGATCAAGTTTGAAAATCGCCCCGATCGGACGTCTATATCCTATAGCTCCCATAGGAACAATTGGATATATCTTGCAAGAATTTATGATATTTCGCGCAGTGTAAAAGCTATTGACATTAATCTTTACAAATCGTATTTTTTTATGCATACCTTGATCAGGGTAAAAGCGCGTGGCGATCGGACGTCTATATCCTATAGCTCCCATAGGAACAACAGGGTAAAATCGGTTAAAATTTAATGATTTTTAGGATATTTCGCGCAGTGTAAAAGCTATTGACATAAATCTTTCCAAATCTTATTTTTTTATGCGTACCTTGATCAGGGTAAAAGCGCGTGACGATCGGACGTCTATATCCTATAGCTCCCATAGGAACAATAGGGTAAAATCGGTCCAAATTTGATGTTTTTCAGAATATTTCGCGATGTGTAAAAGCTATTGCTGTACATTTTTTCAAATCGTATTTTTTATGCATTCCTTCATCAAGGTAAAAGCGCGTGCTGATCGGACGTCTATATCCTATAGCTCCCATAGGAACAATACGGTGAAATCGGTCAAAATTTCATATTTTTTAGAATATTTCGCGCAGTGTATAAGCTATTGACATACATTTTTCAAAGTCTTATTTATTTACGCATATCTGGATTAGGGTAAAAGCGCTTGCCGATCGGACGTCTATTTCTTATAGCTTCCGTAGGAAAAATAGTTAAAGGCTGCGAAAGTATCCCTTTTTTCTATTTTTATATGACATTTTTGCAGTATAAAAGCAATTGACATTAAACGATGCAAATCTAGTTTATTTATGTATACCTTATTCCTTTCGCTACTTTTTCAGTTTTAGCAATTTCGGCAAAGTCTGCAAGGGTATTAAAACTTCGGCTTGCCGAAGTTAGCTTCCGTCCTCGTTTTTGGTATAATTTCAACATTCCCTTCACGGCAAAAAGTACAGTTGCCACAACAGCTTTTTTGGCCCTGAAGCAAGTCAGACTGTCATATACCAAACTATGAGCCAAACCATGTATAATTACACGTGTGTGTATGTACATTGTACATATTTAGATTTAATCAATGTCGGTCCTATATATAGACGGCGATGCATTTGTTTTGGCTAGCAACGCAGAGCGTTAAAGCCACAACAGAAACGAATAAAACCATGATCCGAAACATAAATCGAGCAATGGACAGTGGGAGGATGGGGTTTTTATGCCGAGGGGGGAAAATACCTTACCGACAGGTGGGCCACACGAAGGCGAAAGATAAAGAAAGGTAAGCAGCTGGGGATCAATTGATTAGACGCAGACTCCCCTTGAATTTTGTACGCGCAGCAGCATTAAATTACCTAACTTTATGCTTCATCAGAAAAAGAAAAAAGAAGCATCTTTTCGAAAAATAGTTGGTTGAAACCACAAAAGAAAAATCAGGAAAAAAGACAAAACCTAAAATCATTGTTAATCTACAATTGCAGCAATAATAGTGGTTTCGATGTAATGGTAAGAAGGGATTTTATGAATTCCAAACAATTAGAGTAAAATATTTAAAGTTAAATCCACCTATATTTATAATCGTTTTTTTATACACCATTAAGTATTTCATATTTTGAACTGAGCATTTATGCTCATAAAAAAATAAATAAATCAAAAATACCTAATAAAAATTATTTATTACTTACTGAGCAAAATGTAATATTGGTAGCAAAACATCTAAACTTGGCAAGATAAACAATATATAAATAATATATAAATATATAAAAAGGCATAATCAGCCATAGAACATTTATTAACATTTAATTTTCCAGATTGGAGTTACGGTTATATGATCAATAAGTTTTTTTTTTGTTAAACGATAAATATCACAAAAAGGAGATCGCGAAATATTTTGAAAAATGTTTTTCATCTTTAATAAAGATTTTCTTTATTTTGGGATGAAAATAATGTAAGTGAAGTGGCATATATCGATATCCATATAAAATAAGTGCATACATTTATAACCCTGATGAATAGTGCAGTTTCAAAACCTTATTATCGAGACTTTCATTTGAAAGCCTTA